GGGCCTGGGGATTTGGAAGAGCAGCAGTCCCAAATTGCTTCTTTAATCTCCTTTTCCTCAAAATCAGCCACTAGCAACTCATTTTCGGCTTGTGAAATTTGATTAACTCTAATCCCATCAAGCTTTGGTCTTTGCCATGCCTCTTCTGAAAATAATTCTTTAAAATACTTAGCCACTTTTTCCTTTATTTCCTTCACACTCGTGTAAAGTTCCCCGTTGATCTGAATACAATTAATTTCATTCCTTTTCCATCTTCCCTTGACACATCGATGGAAAAAACTTGTATTCGCATCCCCTTCCTTGAACCACATCCTTCTTGCCTTTTGCTGCCACATCCTCTCCTTAATTCTTAGATTTTTCCATATAACCATAAAGCTTCCCCTCCTCCTTTCGACATCTTCTGCAGTCAGTTGGCTATTCTCTCCTTTCTCATCAATTTCAACTATCACTGCTTCTGCTTCTTTTACTTTGGCATCCACGTCTTGAGCTAGGTTCCGGCTCCATTCTTTTAATGCTTTCTTTGTACTTTTCAATTTCTCTTTAAGTATGAAGCCTTTCTGCCCCTGGATGTCGCTGGTTTTCCACACTCTTGTGATTAACTCCTTGCATCCAGGTTTATCAAACCATGCATCAAAAAACTTGAACAATTTTGGGCCCCAATCAATCTTCTCATTCTTGAGTAAAATGGGGCAATGATCTGATACTGATCTTCTCAACCCCCACTGTTTAACATCACCCCATTTGGCAACCCAATCTTCTGATAACAAAAATCTATCAATTCTACTCATATACTGGCCATTAGAGTTATACCATGTATACTTCCTACCAAGCAAAGGCAGATCAATCAAAGCAGCATTAATTATAAAATTGTCAAATTCCCGCATTTCACTACTGATCCCCGTCTCCCCTGCTCGTTCCTCTATTCCCCTCACTGCATTGAAATCCCCCATTAAACACCACTTCCTTCTTTTACTGTTCAACAGGCCCTGTAAATCATCCCATAACATTCTTTTACCCATCAACTGGCACAGGGAATAAATGTTTAGTATATTCACAGGAATCCTCTCCTCTCCCCACAACCTAGATATCCTGATGAAGTTATTCCCCTCAATTACCTCCATTTTCTTAAGCACCTTAGTATTCCAAATGCATAATAGACCTCTGGACCTACCCACAGATGGCTTAGCTACCCAGTCAAAGTCATCTGTTCCCCATATTATTCTACAAATCTTCCTGTCCACTGTCACTAATTTAGTCTCTTGAATTGCTATGAAATCTACTTTCTCCTTCATCACAATTTCTCTGATCTGTCTTTTCTTACCATCCCCTCCCATTCCTCTAATATTATAAGACAATAGAATCATAGAGGTTCATTGCTTACCTTCTTGGCACCTTCGGTTTCCGGATTGGCCATTTCCCCTTTCATGCGGCTGTCTCTCCTCTCCATTTCCTCGATTTTCTACAGGACATCGGGATCATTTTTTGCATTCGCGCCTAGCTGCTTCGCAAGATCCCATATCTCCCTTGCTACCTGGCTTTGCAACTGATTCTTAATGGATCTGTTGCAATTCAGGGTACCACTGTCACCAACCGAACCCCCTGCTACTTTCCCGTCTGGATTTGGCATAAATTCAGGAAATTTTGTTCCTGCTGTCCTCTACATGTTCCTTTTTTTCCCATCGATCTTTCTTCTTAAGCCCCGCTCGACCTCCTCTGTGCACTGGTACATCGAACTGCATGATCTAGCCTTTCTTCTTTTACCCTTCGCTGATTCCATTATCTGCTTGTTAATCCACGCCTCCACCCGTCCCTTATCTTTTTTGAATCCTCTCCAGAACACCTCCTCCCCGTCTTCTTCAATTTCATCCTCTGTCATTTCCATACTTCCATAATTATCCTTATTGAAAGTTGGGTCTGCCGAATTTTCCTCTCTTCTAACTTGGGCCAAGCCCATGTTAGTGGATTCTTGAAACTAAAGGCTTGCTTCTTGAGTATTGGGCTCTTTAAAAGAGTTCCTTGTGGGTATGTTCTTGAGGCCCATTTGAATCCCATCCACTATACCGGCCTGATAAACCGGTTCAATGACTTCATTCTCTTTTTCCAGACAATTGCACGTTGCTCTGTTTCTTTCACGATTCAAAATTTGAATTTGAATTTGAGATTGAGACGGGTTGCCAGTTGTTGCTTCCCCTAACTTCTCCTCCTCCTTTGTAGGCTGGTCCTGATCTATTCCTTCCCACGCCACGTCATCATCTTCTTCATGGGTATGTTTTTCATGACAGAGAACATCATCCTTTGCCTTGTGACATTCCTGCGTCTCCATTACAGTGCCGATCGACCAAGACTCACAATCCTCCTCATCACTTTGGAAAGAAGGCAAGAAATCTTGTTTAAGAGAGAAGAAGCAATTAGAGACTTCCTCCTCTGAGAATTTCATATTGTACAGGTTCCCATTGATTTTAACTTGCCGTGAAACTTTGATTGTGTCCATGATCTGAGTGGATATCAAGAATCTTGCTATATCAAAACGTCTTCTTTTGCTAGTGCTATCATCCAAGCATATGAATTTTCCCCATGAGCACCCCTTTTTTTTCGAAGAATTCAGTGCTCCAAGCATTCAATGGAACCCCTTGGCATCTAATCCATACAAACCTCTCCTTGGCCACCATTTCGGGTTTCCAAGGTTGCATCTCTTCGAACCATTGTCCTAACTAGTCCGCAGCTAATTCCACCAAGTCTTTCAATTCTTCCTTATCCTCGCAATCTAATAGCACCATTCTACCTCCCATGGCTCGAATCCGGCATGAAAAATAGCCTTCCATATAGAATTTCTCTTGTAAGTTGCGAACCATCTCCACAGAATGAACCAATCCCACAAAGCATCCCTCCAGCCATGCATAATCTTCTGGTTTGGCATTATATTATATTCCCACCTAGCTTTTTCCCATTCCTTTTTCTTGCCAAATTGTTCTAGCTTTTTCACTACGCTGGTTTGAGCAGTCTCTGCTTATGTTCTCCACCGGTCTCTTTTCTTCCCGTTTTCTGACCTGTGTTCTTCCTTCCTCCGTTTGATTCTTCGCTGGATGGCCTTTCACCACCTCGGCATAACTTCTATTTTGGATTATTGGTTCTGCAAACTTACGGTACCTACTGCCCGTTTTTTCAATCTTTCCTTCTTCATATCTTGGGAGATTCACCCATAATTTCCTACCTCTTATCCATATCTGATCCAGATTCCTTTCCAGTTCCCTCTTGTCCTTTACATCCAAGAATCTCACAAACCCAAACTTATTTCCATTCCTACTTTTCCTGTTAGGACTATAGATGGCATATACCCTTCCATAT